TGACTTATCACTCCTTAAACACTCTCTCTGCCTCAAACCCCCAAAACTTTCTTCTCAAAACTCTGTCTCTGACTGAAGTGACTAAACTCTGACTCACCCCTCCCTTCTAGTTTCTCTGGCTCCACCTCCCAACAGCTCCCATTGGTGCAGGCCAATATCATTTTATATTTATAGGAAGACAGGTTGTTTGCTGCAGCCCCTCCTGTCATCTTCTCTTCCTCTGCCACCATTTACAACTTGGCCAGTGTTTTTGGCTTAGAGTCAGAACCATGAGCACCTACAAGAAATAGGATGGCTCTGGGAAAGTCACCTGGAGAATGGTTGGGGTAGAACGCATAGAGAACAGTCCAGCCCTGCAACCCTCTCAGAGCCCTTCACACTGGCCTTGATCAGTTATAAATTTAGCATTGGTTTTAAGGAACTTCTTTTTCTGAGCAACTTAATTATGCAAGTCCAGAGCCCTATGATTGAGTGGCACCTTATAATGTCTATATGGTAGATGTACAAGAAGTGAAACATAAATGCACACTTGTTTTAGGCAAACTTATATACAACTTTTCAAATTTATTTTTCTGACTTGAAATGCAAACCATTAAATTAAATGTCTTCCCAGCACTTTCTCCATTCTTGCTTCCTGGAATTTGACTTATTTGGTTCTTAATTTAGTCTCAACTATGGTAATACAGAAAGAATTCTATGAATCCTGAAATACTTTCATCTGGCTGAAAGATTTCAATCTGAGATGTAGAGGCCTGTAAAGCATCCCAACAGCCTGGATGAAACATATTACAAGCAACCTTACAAGCAATACCTCACCTTTCAGGATAATGAGAGCATAGTAAAGGTAAAGGTTCCCCTTGACATTTTTAGTCCAGTCGTGTCTGACTCTAGGGGGCGGTGCTCATCCCACTTTTCAAGCCATAGGGCCAGAACTTCTCCGAAGATAAGTTTCTGCTGTCACATGGCCAGCGTGACTAGGGAACGCCGTTTTACCTTCCCACCGAGATGGTACCTATTTATCTACTTACATTTGCATGCTTTTGAACTGCTAGGTTGGCAAGGAGCCGGGACAAAGCGACAGGAGCTCACTCCGTCGCGTGGATTCGATCCTACGACTGCTGGTCTTCTGACTCTGCAGCAAAGGCTTCTGCGGTTTAGCCCACAGCACCACTATTTTCATGAAGCAGCATACTGAGTTGTAGCATTCTTAATGTTTGTATTTATATTTTGTATTTATCTTTTGAACTGCTAGGTTGGCAAGGAGCCGGGACAAAGCGACAGGAGCTCACTCCGTCGCGTGGATTCGATCCTACGACTGCTGGTCTTCTGACTCTGCAGCAAAGGCTTCTGCGGTTTAGCCCACAGCACCACTATTTTCATGAAGCAGCATACTGAGTTGTAGCATTCTTAATGTTTGTATTTATATTTTGTATTTATATTAAAAAGTTAAAAATGCATTCCTGGATGTTTTTGCAAAGGTTTTTTTAAAACACACACACACACACA